CACGAGAACTGTGATTGTAATCTAGGATAACATGAATTCCAGAGCTGTCTTTATTCGTATTTGAAACAATAAGAGCATCTTAACAGCCTTTTTTACGTCGATAAAGAATTTTCAAAGCGATAACAATGAATTACACACTTTGCCGTCCGTGTTGAAGTCGTAATGCACACTTTGAAGTTTGTATAAAATCACTTAAACAGCATGGATGACTGCGCTACTCAGTTTGACATTGAAAAGCCAGTTAAGCGACAGTTCAAGTCACAAAAATTAACCGAAAACAAGGGCAGTTTTGACTCTAATTCTCGCCTACAGTGACTAAAAAGCACTATTTCCTTGTCTTTTTTTCCTACAAAATTCTAGATTTCAAGAAGCGAATGACTGTTGGTACACAATTTTAGTCCTACTTCTGTCATTTAAGCGTTTTATTTTTCACATTTTCCATAAAGATCTCATGCTACGGCTTTCTCTTTGGACACTGATTCAGAACACGTCTTTTAACCGGATTTTTGCACGCAATGAATTCTGGGAAAAATCTACACACGCCGTGAGCAACGATTCCGTCCAATCTGAAATAGAAATTTATATAAAGTCTACAGCCTTCTCGGAAATCTGCCAAAATTTCAAGTCGCTTTTGTTCCTCAATAGCCAAAACATCCAAAAATTACCGTGGCAGCTCCAAGGATTTGCCTTTAGACGGTCTTTTAAGTGATTCTCTTCAAGCGACTGTCCGAGTTAATCGAATGAACCGCGGAATCAAAATCGCTTAAAAAGTCACACACCAAGCTGGATTCTTTCAGCAAGTAAGCTCCTTCGCTACCTACAAACTTAATGATGTCTGTAGAGTAGTGACTAAAGGCAAAAAGGCTGAGAAAACCGCGAAAAAACTCATTTCTCGACTTCTTGCAGCACAGCTTCGAACCAAAACAAACCGACAAACCAACTGTCAAAGTCATGAGTTTAGCGCGAATATGCAAATCTAGGATATTTTACGGTCTAGCGATCAGTTGTCAAGCCAAAGAAGTCGGTAACTATGGGTCCTTTTTTGCTCTTTTTGGAAAGAAATCAGGAGAAATAAGTACTAAATAAGGTTATTTAGACTTAAAATAAGCGATTGGAATGATGTTTTTTTTAATTTTTCGAAAATTTCGAAAATACCCTAAATCGTCACTTAAGTCGTTTTAGCATCCGCCCCTTCAATTGACAAGTTTAACAAGTTTATTGCATCATTAACCAACACAGCATACGTGTATGTATTGTAGAACTCTTCCTGACTTACAATATCTTACGTTTTTTCTTACTTTTAGATGAGTTTGATGCGTACATCGTTGTGTCTTTCATCAATGCTACCTTGGTTCTCTCTATCGGTGAAACAGTAGAGGAAGTGACTGACAGCGGATTCCTTGGTACAACACCAACACTTTCATGTTCACAGTTGGGAGAAGATGCTCTATTACAGGTTAGTCAATTACTGGAAATAGTTTTGAATTCCTGGAAATGGTTTTGAAGCCCTGGAAATGGTTTCTAATTCCTGGAAAAGGTTTTCAATACTTGGAAATTATTTTTATTTCCTGGACATAATGTGTACTATCTTGAATGTAGATTAAAGAAAGCATGTTTTACAGGATTGCTCTGTAGACATATTCTGTGTTGTCAGAGCCCAGAGGCATGCAAGAGTCAATGACCTTCAACGATCGTCCTTACCCTCTGTCATGGGTTTGGACGCTGACGTTGGTCAAAATATTTTTAAATTACTTTCCTTGAGATCCTGTCTAGTCATATAATTTAACAAATTCAATTGTTTAAACACCTATTTAGAAGATCAATTCAAGCAGTTACTTGATCACATACCAAAATATATAGTTAACCTCCAGAATAGCAACCGACTTGTTCTTGTTTACTATCTGTTCCTCAAAATGGAAATTCTGATCAATGAAACTTTTTGTATACCATTTAGATCTACCCTGATGGTATTCGTCACATCAGAGCTGACAAGAGAGTTAAYGAGTGGAAAACTCCAGGCAAGAAAAGCATCGTCAAGTGCGCTGTCAATCAAAGACAGGTTGTCATAGCRTTAACTGGTGGTGAAGTTGTTTACTTCGAAATGGATCAATCAGGACAGTTAAATGAGTATACTGAGCGTAAAGAAATGTCGGCAGACGTGCAGTGTATGGCGTTGGGACCAATACCACACGGAGAACTCCGGTCSAGRTTYTTAGCTATTGGACTTAGTGATAACACWGTGAGAATCATCTCACTAGATCCTCAGGTAGATACCTTATTGAGGTATAAGGGATAATAGAGTGTGTTCGGTCAAGTAACAGG